AACAAAAATTTACCAATTCAGCTAAGAGATGAGGAAAGAACTTCAAAAGACAGAAAAACAAGGGCTGGAGCAGTAAATCAGCAAGCTAATCCTCCACTTGCAGCAGTGGTAGCCCACATGGGTGCCAGTATGAGTCCCAGGTGCTCCACTTCTAATCCAGCTCCCAGCATATAACCTGGCAAAGCAGGGATGATAGCTCAGATCCTCGGGCCATTGAACCCATACTGGAAATCCAGAAGTATCAGCTGCTAACTTTATTTTTGCTTTTGTTTTGTTTTCTTTTTAATTTTTATTAGAGGAGCAGATCAGATTACAAAGAGAAAAGGAGAGACAGAAAGATCTGTTCACTGGTTCACTCCCCAAGTAGCCACAACAGCTGGAGCTGAGGCAGTTCAAAGTCAGGAGCCATGATTTTCTTCCAGGTATCCCATGAGAATGCAGAATCCCAAGGCTTTGGACTATTCTCCACTGCTTTCCCAGGGACACAAGCAGGAAGCTGGATGGGAAGAGGAGCAGCCAGGACATGAACCATACAGGATCGTGGCATGTAAAAGACAAGGATTTAGGTACTGAACCATTCCCCCGGGGACCTGGCTTTCTGTCAGTTCAGCTTGGCAACTGCAAATCTCTGCAGACAGAACCTGTGAATAAAGAACTTCTTGCCTCTTTCTCCTTCGCTCTCTCTCTCCATCTCTCTATAAATGTGCCTCTCAAATAAATAAGTAAATCTTTAAAAAAAGAAAAAAAAAATTAAACAAATGTATGAAAAAGCACTCAATATCTCTAGCCATCCGTGAAATGCAAATCAGAAACATAATGAGGTTATCATCTCACTTCTGGCAAAGCAGCTATTATCAAGAACACAGACAGTAGCAAATGCCAATGAGGATGTAAAGAAATGGTAATTCTTACTCACTGTTGGTGGGACTGTAAACTAACACAACCACTATATGAAAAACAGCATGCAAATTTCTTTAGAAAGTAAAAATATACTTGCAATATGACCTAGCAATCCAACTACTGTTTATATACCCAAAAGGCATGAACATATTGAATTAAAAGTATACTGTACCGCCATGTTTACAGTACTCTTTACAATAACCCGAATTTACAATCAATATAGGTATCTATTACCAGAGAGATGAATAAAAAAAATGTGATGTGCATACACAGACACACAAAAGGTAACATCATTCAGCTATAATGAAATGAAATTCTGCCATTTTCATCAGAGCAGATTTTTTAAGGAGGACATTATACTAAGTGATTTAAGCCAAAGTGAAAAAGACAAATATTGCCTGTTCTCACATATATGAGAGCTAAAATTTGAAAAGAAAATGTTTAAAAAGGAATGTCTGGCATATCAGTATGGCTAATACAGTTTTGTCAAATATTTTCTATCTTCTCAAATCAATGACTAAGAATGATATACTACTACAGTTTTAATGAAGTGTGATTATTTTTAAGTTTATTATATATAAAGGCAATGAATGGTCTTTTTTTAATCTGATAATTGTTTACAGCTGTTGACTGTCCCACTGAATCAGGGTCTTTTCAGTTTTCATTTATTGAACTCTATTTAATGAAGCATTAGCCTTTGATTATAATGTAAATTTAAAATGTTATCTAGAAAATAAGAGTATCACTGTATTTCTAGAATCATATGAATGAACTACATGAAATCTATTCTATTAGCATTAATATCACATTAACATGAGACTTGAAAAAACAAAAGCATGAACCTGTACAAAATAAAAATAAGCAAATATCTGAGTTGTAACTTGTTTGGTGGCTACTAATTTGATATACCTTCTGTGTTTTTAAAAGATTTACTTATTTGTTTAATTGAAAGGCAAAATCAGAGGGAAAGACAGAGAGAAAAAGTTCTCCCATCTGCTGGTTCACTCCCCAAATAGCCTCAACAGCCTGGGTTGGGCTGGAATGAGGTCAAGACATTGGAGCTTCTTCCCAGTCTCTCATGTGGATACAAGGACACAAGTACTTGGTCCATTTTTCACTGCTTTCCTAGGCACATCAATTGGCAGAGAGCTATAATAGAAGTAGAGTACTTTGGCATTAAATTGGTGCCCATGAGATGCCACTGTCACAGGTTACCCACTATGCCATAACACAGGTCACAATTTCTCGTTTCCATACTCTTCATACCTTATTTCATCTATTCTCATGGTTTCAAAAACCATTCTGATCTCTCTCATTACCTTGAGATACATATTTCCCATCTCCTACCATTCTATCTCAACTCCATTTGATTGTCAAAAACATAAAACTGAACAGACCTAAAATTGAACTTATTCTACCCCACACAAATGTCACATTTGTATACCGGTACCAATAAAGAATTTGTGTAAAAGTTCTATATTCTGATATTTTCTCAAATATACCAAAATTTTGTATGTTGTTACTAATAACTTAAAATAAGATTATATAAAAGTCATTCAATTTACCCTATTTAATATTTTTACAGGACCTAAGATTGTAGGAGAGAAAGTTTTTCAAACAGCTAAAGTAAAAACTATGTAACTCTTTGGGAACATAGGATTGTCCAGAAGAAAAATGTGTTTATTCATACATACATATACATTATGCCAATTAAAACACATTATACAAACTGTCATCAAAATATAAATGAACATTTTTAAGTCAACAGTTTATAAATGCTTATTATACTAATGCTTCAATAATGTTATCATTTAGCAGCCATGTTGTAGAAGACACTAAAATAAATCAAATAAGGAAAAGAACAAGGTAAAAATTCTTTGTTGCAGTAGTTTCTAATCTAATAAAGAAATAAAAAACATTAATGAGAAACTAAAACAAAAACAAACCCATGGAGTCATAAGCAAAAGAACATTGTAACAAGTGTTTAACTATCAACACCCTTCACTATCAAGCTATATTAGCTGTGGTTATTAAGTGCATTCAAGATATGTCATTGCAAACTTTAAAAGAAAATTAAGAAAGGAAGAACAGTGGTGAGTAAGGGAGTTAGGTGGGAATTATTACAGTCTTAAAACTACATATATGAAATCACGAAGTTTGTTTCCTTTATGTAATTAAGATAGACAATGAATGTTGGAACTAGAGAAATGATTTATCAGAAATCAGATTCAAGTTAATCAAAATCTGATACTTTAATCAGATAACAATTTAATAGTTTATAATTTAATAATAATTTATAAAAGAAAATGAGCCAGCCTCAAGTCAATCATATTTAATTAAGTACCAGCATGTACACAGCCTAAATATTTATTAAATAAAAATTATTTTCCTAGCTAAAATGCTGACTGGGACAATGGCTTATGCATCTACTGCAATGATATTTTGAAATACCATCAAGTTTCATACTTGGAAAATTTCACATTTTACATATGAACATTTACATTTAAATGTCTATTTCAAATTCTTGGTGGTAACTGCCAAAAACCACATCCTGAAATTTTTTTATATGACAAGATGAAAGACACTGATAAATTTATTTTACTTCAAATTGAAAATAATATTTCAATGAAGCAACAGAAAAACATTGAAAGGCATCTCAACTAACCATAATTATTCTTAAATAATCCAATCCCACTGACCATGATTATACCATTGTTAAATAAAATGGTAATTTGCTATTTTAAAGATTTTTATTGCAAAGTTAGATATATAGAGAGAGGAGGAGAGACAAAGAAATATCTTCCTTCTGATCATTTACTCCCCAAGTGACTGCAATGGCTGATGCTGCACCAATTCAAAGCCAGAGGCCAAGAGTTCTTCCGGGACTGCCAAGTGGGTGCAGGGTCCCAAGGCTTTGGGCCATCCTCAATTGCTTTCCCAGGCCACAAGCGGGGAGCTGGATGGGAAGTGGAGCTGCCAGGACAAGAACCAGCACCTGTATGGGATCCTGGCGCATTGAAGGTGAGAACTTAAGCTGCTAGGCCATGGCTCCAGGCCCCAAAAATGATAATTTCTATGTTTAACTTGTGTACAGAGTATTGATATTTTATTATCTAATTTTGTGCATATAAGCCTTATGAAGAATACTTAGAAAGTCTAAAATGAATATATGCTAGTACTACTGAAGGTGCAGAGTGCATCAGTGGACAAGGGAGCTATTTACAAACCAGGAAAACCTGGGCTTGTGACTAACTTTGGAAAACAAAGCAGATCAACCCCTGGTGCTTCATTCCTTTGGGTCTCACTATGGTTACAAATAATAGAAGAGATTGTCCCTGGGCTCAATACTATCTTTTCCTCTTTCTGTCCATGAGTAATGAATCAAAGTATAACAAGACTCTGTGTTAGTGCCTTCACCCTTATAATTTTTTTTTTTTTTTGGTTTGGTTAACATAAGAAAACTCTTCTAAAAATCGTTAGCTTTTCATAGGATAAGGATTGGACCCAGCACGATAGCCTAATGGCTAAAGTCCTTGCCTTGCACATACGGAATCCCATATGGGCGCTGGTTCTAATTCCCGCAAACCCCAATTCCCATCCTTGCTTGTGGGAGACCCAGAAGAGCTGGCTCCTGTCTCTGGATCGGCGCAGCTCAGGCTGCTGCAGCCACTTGGGGAGTGAATCAATGCATAGAGGATCATCCTGTCTGTCCTCCTCTTTGTATATCTGACTTCCCAATAACAATAATAATAATAATAATGATGAAGATAAGTATTAATGAAAGCTTTGTACAACACCTGGGTTATTTTGGGGTATAAAAATTCTTGCACAAACAGCGTCATCCTAAAAGTGTGGATGATGATGGTTGCAGTGCAGAATAATAAAATCATTTCTCCATTAAGCATCTTCTTGTCTGTTCAATTAATCCTGACATACTAACATATCAGTTTGTACAGCTTTTATCATTGAAAACTATTTCAGCTAAACTTTTCAGTTAAATTAATGACTAATTAGCATCTGATTGCCAAATAACAATTTGGTATATGTGTTACATAAGTTTGAAATATTCAAAACAAAGTGGTATCAAAATTAAAACTTACAGTTCAATGGCCTTGTTCCACATGATAACATATCCAGAAAGAATGAAAGATTCAATATTTACAATATGTGTGTTTCCTCTTTCTGTTCCAACATAGAGCCATTTACTCTGGAAAGGTAGATGACAGTAAGTAATTCTGAAAGAAAGAAAATTACAATTAAAATATCTAATTTTATATGTGTTCAGTATTACATTTTCCTTATATATATGTTATGTAAGGACAGATATATAAACAATGAGATTTACTATATATCCAAGTAACAGTTATTAGTGAAAGCTAACATCTGTTGGCAACAACAGTATATCATTAAAAATAATGATAATAACCACAACTTTTAAAGTTCCTATTGAGGTATGAATTTACATTATTTCTATTTCTGGAAAAATTACTGCCAGCAGATACACATTCATTTTAGAATGAGAACCCTGAGGCAAATTATTTTTATTTTACCTCCTAGCACTGTTAATAAGTGGCAAAACTAAAAATCTATACCTGCTTGGTTACAAAATAATAATCTTTCACTATGCTATATTGTTTCAGTTAGACTTATTTCAAAGATAATGCATACATACATATAAACATAAATGTACAAACTCAGAGAGGTGGAAAATGATAATCTATTTTTAGTCATATGCTCGACATTTAAATAATAAAGAAAGCAACATGAGAGGTCAGAAATCTATTGTACTCTTCCTTCCTTAGCTTGGTTGTTTCACTGTCATCTTCACTATGAATTCTGATCAGCTCTGAGATCAGATCTGGAGCAGCCATGCCTCTCACGTATGCAATAGAATTCACCAGAAACTTGTAGTCACATCATCATTATTCTCTTTACTTTGGCTTAATAATATTTTTTCCCCTGTAAGTTTTCTATTTTTGTTTTGTGTTGTGATGGGTTGTCAGAGAGGAAGATATTGAGAGAAAGAGATATTCCATCTGCTGGCTTCTTTCATCTGTTAGTTCATTCCTTAAATCCCTGCAATAATTGGGAACAACCCAGGTCAAATCTGCTATCTGGGAACTCCATCTTGATCTCTTACTAGGTGGCAGGGACACTGATACTTGAGCAGTTACCTGCTGCATCCCAGAATGCAGATTAGCAAAGCTGGAATTGGAAACAGAGTAGGGACTCAAACCCAGATCTCCAACATGAGATGCTGGCATTCCATGTGGAATATTAACTCCTACACCAAATAACTATCATCATTACACTCTTTAGTCACTGTTAGAATTTGCTATTTAATTTTATCAGTTCCTGGATTTATTTAGAAGATGAGTTAGTAAATTATTGGAGGAGCAGAACCAAATTTTGACACCAGGAAGACACACCAATAATATTAATAAAAGGATCCAGATAATAAATTTCTAACCAATCACATCTTAAACATATTTATGTTTGAATATCTAATTTAAACTTTTAAATTATTTTTGCAGCTTGGTTCATTAATTATAAGATTTATTTATATCTATTGTAAAGGCAGATTTAGAGAGAGAAGGAGAGACAAATATCTTCCATCTGCTGGTTCCCTTCCCAAATGGAACTGAAATTATGGTTCCCTTCCCAAATGGAACTGAAATTATGGTTCCCTTCCCAAATGGAACTGAAATTATCCAAAGTCAGGAGTCAGGGGCTTCCTCATGATTTCCCACATAGGTGCAGGGGCCATGGGCCACCCTCCACCACTTTACCAGGCCAGAAATAGGGAGTTGGATGAGAAGTAAAGTGGGACACAAATGGTACCCATATGGGATTAGCCAGTTGAGCCAATGCACCAGCCCTTGGTTCACTGAATAATTCTTCACTCTACCTCTTGGAATCAAACTTCATCTATCCAAAATATCCTACTGAAATCATCTTGCATTCCAAATCCAGAAAACATCATAGAGAGAAAGGAAGGAAATACATGTAAATACATGTAATGTTTTACTCTGGTTGAATCTAATACTAAAAATGCTAAAATGTACAGTTTACTTCAATTAACTTTAGGGACTGGGCCAGTGTAATGATTTAGCAAACTAATCTTCAACTTATTTTGTCAGCAACCCAGATGGGTGTCAGTTCGAGTCCTGCATGTTCCACTTTCCATCCAGCTTGTGACCTGGGAAAGCATCAGAGGATGGCCCAGACCTTGTATCCTTGCATCTACTTGGGAGACCTGGAAGAGGCCTCTGCTTCTCAGGCTCAGACCAGCTCAGCTCTGGTCATTGTGGCCATTTGAGAGGTGAACCAATAGATAAAGGAGCGCTCTCTCTCTCTCTCTCTCTCTCTCTCTCTCTCTCTCTCTCTCTCTCTCTCCCTCTCTTTGCAACTCTAAATTTTAATCAAAAATAAACATTTAAAAATATATAGGGGGCCCAGCGCGGTGGCGCAAGTGGTTAAAGGTCCTCGCCTTGCACGCCCGGGATCCCATATGGGCGCCGGTTCTAATCCCAGCAGCCCCGCTTCCCTTCCAGCTCCCTGCTTGTGGCCTGGGAAAGCAGTCGAGGATGGCCCAAAGCTTTGGGAACCTGCACCCTGTGGGAGACCCGGAAGAGGCTCCTGGCTTCGAATCGGCATAGTATGGGCCCGTTGCGCTCACTTGGGGAGTGAATCATCGGACGGAAGATCTTCCTCTCTGTCTCTCCTCTCTGTATATCCGCCTTTCCAATGAAAAAATAATAAAAATAAATCTTTAAAAAAAATATATATATAGGGTCTGGCATTGTGGTATGGACAGCGGGTTAAGCTACCATTTGTGATGCTGGCATTCCATATTAGAATACTGCTTCAAGTCCAAGCTGATCTGCTTCCAGTCCAGCTTCCTACTAAATATTCCAGGGAAAGATAGTAAGCGACAGCCCAAATTCTTGGGCCCCTGGCACCCATATGGGAAACCAGAATGGACTTTTGGTAACTAGCTTGGTCTAGCCCAGACCTGGCTGTTGGGAATAATTGGGCACTGAACCAGCAAATTTCTCTTTCTCTAACCAACTCTGCTTTTCAAATAAATAGGCAAATTCTTAAAAAAAAAAAAATTAAATAAAAGGACCGAGTATAGAAGGTAGTTACCACAATCAAAAGATGTAAAAAAAAATACATTGATATATTCATTTATTATTTAGTTGACTTTAAAATCTCAGGTCTTGATTTTCATTACCCTAGCCTAGGATAAAATGCTATTGCTGAAATACTGATTTATACTAGAACAAAAAGATTAGATGCTTTCCATTAGAAGATGATATAATGTATATCAACCATACATTTTTCTACTAAAAAAAACTATTAGAATAAACATTACATTATTTCTGACTAGTGAGATTATGAAGAGAAAGTAAGTTAATGTAAATTATGCAAAGATATAACAGTATGGTACATTAAGAAATGCTTAATATGTTCTTACCGTTCTCGGTTAAATTTAAGAGAATGAAGAATAGCTGGCCTTTTTTGTCTAAGGTTCCACAAATGAAGTGTATCATCTGAACTTGCACTGACCAAAGCACCCTAGTATAAAAAGAAGACAGACTATTTAATTCTTTATGGAAACAAAACAATATTAATTTTCTGAATTTTCCACTATTGAGATAATTGTATCTTCATAACCTAGAAATAAACAAGGACAAGTGCATATAATTGAATCCAGAGTGTGAAGAATACAGAGTGGAAAAGGGAAATAGCCTACTGCATATAGTTGGCCAGGAAGACCACCTTTCAAGAAATACTCGTTAATACACAGTAATTATACAGGATCATTTGGTGTTTTCTTTGAGAAAAAAACTTAAGTCTTTTATTTATGTTATTCACACAATACTACAAAGAAACAAGCACTAAGAGAAACAAGCACCCAACTCAGTTTTAGAAACTGAATACAGATCATATGAAAAGTTTCCTTCCTAAGAATTTTTGCACAGTTGGAAGTAAATATTCTTTCTAAGCGTTAATTTGCTTTTTGAAGTCCAAGAAGCTTCACCTATTATAAAGTAAATCATACTTGATAAAGTATTTCTCAACTAGAATTTGGCATACTATATACAGTACTAGCAAACACAAATGAATTGTACTTCAGGTACAATAGTTTCTACCTGTGAAGAAGTCATAGAAACATATCTAGTTGCCAGGTATAACTTTATATATATATATGTAAATATATATATATGTAAATATATATATGTGTAATATATATAATATATAAAAGTTTATATATATAACTTTATATATGACTTATATAACATATATAACTTAACTTTATATATATAAATATATATATATGCTTAAACTGTTTCACTAAGCATGTCAGAACTTTTACCATAACAATAATTTTCTAGCTAAAATTTCTAGTGTTTGACCTAACAGAACTTAAAGCTACTTTATAATACTGAATGAAAATGTGATCATACAGAACTATGGTGATCCTAAGAGTCCTAAAATATTATTCATATTTCCCAAAGTACTTAGGAAACTACTTGCATAGACTGTGGCTTTGATCACTGACAAAAATGATTATCCCATTTATATGCAAGGAAGAGCTAAACTGAAATTCCTATCATATGTCACCCCATGGACTTTGGGGGGATTTGTTCAACCTTGGAGCAAGGAGGTCAAGAGCAACTTGGAACTACTGAAAACAACTTAAACACTATATTCACAATGCTCCACATTGGGACACTAGGATGACATCAACTGGCCATCCCACATCCTTGGGTACTGCTGTGTCTAAGAAGCTGGTAGCACCCCTTTTCTTCCTCTCTCCCCACTTCACCCCTTTTCTTCCTCCTCCCCACTTAACCCCAGATACAGGAAGAAAAAAAAAAAGAAGATTGGAAGCAGTTGTCTCATCTACTTTCCCCCATTCCTGAGCCCTTCCCACCCTAACAATGGCCCACATAGTCATACATCCTTCTCAACTACATAACTCTCATCAAAAATAAGTCTATTATAAAAAAAGAATTAAAAGAGGAAGAATTTAAATTCAGTGCTGTGACAATTCCCAAACAAGAAATGTACATTTATCCTATGACTTTTTATAATTATGTATCTGTGGTTAATTCATAAAAACATTTCTAAATGTATGTAAGTTATTTGAACTATATAAATATTAAAAGTATATTTTATATACCTAAAAATAGTAACTGGTATATGTATTTAACATGAAGTCACATACTTCCAGACCATCCAACAAAATCTACCCTATACATGCCTTCAGAATTTTTGAGTTTTTTTTTTTTTTAGTTTTAAAGCAAGATTTATTAGAAAACTTGAGAAAGAAGACTCCCGTCCTAGTGACGGGGGGTGGGGGGGAGGAGGAAGGTTCTGAGATAGAAAGGACCCTTACCCCCTGCCATAGTGGCAGGAGGAAAAGTGGAGAAAAAAGAGACGCATACTAATGGTGAGGAATGCACCTTTTAAAGGTTTACTTCAAAGGGGCTCTCCAAGGACAAAAGGAAATTCCTGGTCCCCCTGGTATCTGGCTTTTTGCTTGAATTTTTTTTCACTTGTAGAATAGATTTATGCTCCTGTATACAAACTAGAAAATTATTAGGATTCCTTAGAAACACTTAACATGATACATATATATATATACACACATATATAAAATAGATTTTTTTTGAGATATAAGATGATGATTTGATTTCTCATAGATGTGGAATTAGGATTAGTTCCACATCAGAATATGATATGGAGATTAATAAAACATTCTCTACAATGGATAATTATCTGCTATACAAAGGATACAACATGGCCAAATCAATGGAATTAAAAATAAAGCAGCATGTATTCAACAATATCTTAAGTAATACCTGAATAAAATCAGCAAGCACCTTAGTGGTACTTCTGTGATAAAGTTTGCAAAACCGCTGAGCATATTAGTACCAAGTGGGACCAGACCCAAGCCAGCATGCACCTCAACAGAATGCTGAGGGATCATTTATAAAAACAAAGTGAATCTACAAGTTGCATACTTTATTAATACCTGTGAAAATATTTAAAACTGTGAAAATACCATTTATGGCATCAAAAAACACAAAATGCAAGGGACAAGTACAGAGACTTAACGTGAGGAGTTTGAAGGTGGAAAGTTCAAAGAGAAGCTGTAAGCAACACAAGTACACTGAAGACTTGCCTTTATTCTTAGTTATGTACCAGAGGGGGACAAATTGGAGAACCTGAAGAAAACTCAGAGTATCAAGGGCAGAATGAGCCACATGGAAGCAATTATGCCAACCAGAACAGATCCATAAAGAAGACAAAATCTGAGATACCTAAACTAGAAACTACCCTGCATCATTGAGATCTCACAAAGGTTAGCATTCTAGATAATAATTACTAGCTACCACAATAAGCTGTTTCTAGAGAAATTTATTTCTGGTACCTTATCAATTCTGTTTTCAAAGTGACTTAAGTTTAGAAGTTAGTAGGATTTCAGAGTACTCTGAGAAATTTTAAATCAAGAAATGTAAACATGTATGTTTGCCAATATGAGAAATTCTTCTTGCCTCAAGCAAATATGACATGAAATTCTTTGAGGCATTTGTGTTTTAAATTTGTAGGAAAACATGTAATATACATATTCATATACATATGAAAATTTACACTGAGATTTACAAAAGATTCTCTTCATGCTATTAGATCACAGCCTTTTTTTTTTTTTTTTAGGACACCAAGTTCAACCTTCCAAGTACCTAAATGTGGTACTGTATGAAGTATTTTTGTGCGGACTGCTTTACTTAAGATACCCCAGCATCTACAGCAAAAACTCTACCTAGCTTGAATCCATGAAGATCTACAATCTTTCTGATATTGGTAACTATGTTTTTGTTTTATGAGAGTTTTTCATCACCTTGGTTCATAAACATCAATGATACAGTAAACAGCTAATTGTTATAATACTGGTAGATATATACATATAAATACATATATCAACAATTGTATATGGTGATAAAAGACCATGTGTAAACAGTTAAAACAGCCATAGGCTATGTCATGAAAGACAAAACAAATGAGGGTTGGAATGCATTATAAAATTTAGGTTGGTGGAAAAAAAAGTGAATGGAAAAGAATCAATAGCTAGTGAAGTTATGAAAGAATTTTCAGTTTTTCTTTAGGTTATTTAAATAAGTAAAGTATACTATATAGCCACAAAACTAGATTTTTGCTAAATTTTCTTTTAAATTTAATAAACTGACAAATACAAAGGTATAGTTTTTTAATATGACAAAGAATGAAATTACAAAATTTAAGCATTTAGAATCATAATAAAGATATGTCAGCTGTAAGTTAAAAATCCCTAATATGAAAACCCCAAATCCAAAATACTCCTCCAAAGTCTGAAGCTTTTTTAGTGCTGAAATGACACTGCAGTGAAAGTCTTCATATTTGATTTCATGTATCAAGTCATAGTAAAAAATGCAGGCAACCTGTAAGTATTGTGTGAAATTACCCCCAGGATATGTGTATAACACATACATGAAATATAAATCAGTTTTGTGTTGGGATTAGTTTTTGTCCCAACACATATCATTAGGCACATGCAATTTCCAAAATTTTAACAAGAATTAAAAAGAAGAAATACTTCCACTTGCACATATTTTGGATAAGGAATACTCAATCTGAAGCATAGGTATGTGTGTGTTTCAAATAGTAAAAATGTCCTTACCTCATTGATCAAGAATTGGAGCTGTAGAACAGCTGCACCACTTTCATGTTGGCAATAACAATCAACTCCAGGTCTCCCGAGTCTGTTGTAATAAAAGTCAAGGAATCTAACATTTTAAGTACTCCTAATGAGGAAGGAAGCAGCTAATTATGAAGCAACTAATGTTTGTAATTTCTTAATTTTATTTTTGTAAACAGAGAATTTAAAATTTGTACTTGATGGAAATTAAATTATATCTGTTATTTATTATATGAAAATTAATATATTATTTATATTTAAAAATACAACTGTTGGAATAGCACAATAAAGGAAATGAAAAGGAGTAGTTTGCTTTCCATAATTTAAAATAAGAATTGGAAATTCAGATATATTTCACTTCATTTAAAATTCACTTACCTGATTAAACACTACTTTTATTTTTTAAAGATTTATTTATTCACTCCCAAATGGCCACAACAGCAGGAGCTAAGCCAATCCAAAGTTGAAAGTCTCTTCCAGGTCTCCCACATGGGTGCAGGGGTCCAAGGACTTTCTGCTTCTTTCCCAGGCCATAATTAGGGAGCTGTGTCGTAAGTGGAGCAGTCAGGACAGGAATTAGTGTCCATATGGGACTACAGTGCTTGCAAGGGGAATATTAGCCAACTGAGCTATTGTGCTGGGCTGAAAACTCTACTTTTAATCAAATTTAAAAAGAGTATAAGAGTTTAAGATTGAAAGCATACTAGTAAAAACAGGATTTAGATAAATATGTTGATAATCTTAGCATATACATAGTCCTTTAAGCTCACACATTATGAGAAAATACTTACATATTTGACTGCATTAAAACAAAAAATTTTGCATAGAAAAATACCATAAATAAGAGACAAATGCCGGGATATAGTATAGACTTATTTTTAAGAGTCATATATAAAATACATACATATGCACATATATGTATAATGAAGAAAGCTAAATGACATATAAAGATGACAAAAAAAGAATGAGGAAAAATTAGAAAATGCCATGGAATAATATTTACTCATATATTCTATATGAAATAATTTATAAAGTTACTTCAAAAAGTTCATGGAAAACAAAATGAGAATGTTGATTGTGGTGCAAGAATACTGCAATTCATGTGCATTTTAGCATGCATTTTCCATGAAAAAAGTTTAAAATCTTTAAAATCTATTTGAAAGGCAGAATTATAGAGACATGCATACAGATCTTTCATTCACTGGTTCAGCCCATGCAATAGCTAGAGTGGATTTAGGATGAACCCAGAAGCCAGGAGCCAAAAAGCCCCCCTCCTGGTTTCCTATGCAGGTTTCAGAGCCCAAGTTTTTGGGTCATCATCTACTGCTTCCCCAAGCATATCAACAAAAAGTCAGATTGGAAATGAACCAGCCAGACTAGGCACTCATATGAGATGCTGGAGTTGCAGGCAACAGCACAATATTCTGTACTGCCACTGCATCAAAATTTTTAAGACTCGTCATATGCATGTTTCAAAAACTTTTGCAACATAACCTTTTAATCCCATTTTCCATAAACTTTTTGAAATATTCTTACATACATTACCATTTAACAGTTCTCCCACCATAAAGATACAAATTACATGAGAACACGCATTTCTAATTGTAAGAAAGAAATATGAAAAAATAAATATAAGCCAGATCTACCCTTCCAACCTAATATTCTAAAATTTGGAAAAATGTACATAGCAGCAGACTTCAATTATTATATCTCAGATACAGGTGACAGTAACCCCTGCCCCCAAAAAGAAAATGTTAAATGACATGATTACTATATCTTATTATCCACAGCAAGTTTCCAAGCTGAAGCACAGGCATGTGCTTCACAGAACCGTTGAATCGAGGAGAGCAAACTAACAGAAATGGGAGCTCAAGCACAATCTACCTTGAATCTTTAGCTAACTAATGATCAGAAAGTAGGTTTGAGCAAATAACCCACGACAGGAAAGAAAGAACCAAAAAGTGAATAATATTCTCCCTGAATAATAAACCAAAACAAACAAGTGAACAATTTCAATCTTGAAGAAAAGAGAGAGAACAAAACAAAAACAAAGAAGGTTACATCCTGGCCTAGTTTCAAGCAATTTGAACATTTGGGGAGTAAAGCAGCAGATAGAAGATATCTCTCCCTTCCTTTTCCCCCTCCTTTATTCTCATATCCCTACCTATCAAATATATATATATGTATACACATACACACAAATGAGTAAAAAACTTCTATTACCCAAAAAACAAAATTTAAAAAGTCTGAGCCTCATTCAGAAAACAAAAACTACTAAAATATTTATATATTATACTAATTGCATATGCTATATAAGGCAGGCAAAAGATCATGTTAAGTAGATATACGGGAAAATCTTTTGTCCATGTTCTTAAATACAGTTTCTGAAGATACTAATAGTATACTAGAAATTAGATAGCTTGAATTTACGCCAATAGAAATTATTTAAACAGAGCATAGTAAGAGAAAAATAAACTGAGTGCAAGAGAGAAAAGTCCTTTAATCACTTAGTTCCTAGTACTACATAACACTAGAGATAATAGTTCACAATAGCCAGTGTATATGATGAGCAAGCACAAGAAAAAGCTGCAAGATTCCAACCAGAAAGCAATATTAATGAAGAAAAAATATTGATTATCCTGCTTTGATTTGTACATATTACATACCATTGTTAGTTTTTTTTTAAAAAAAGCCAGTCTTTATAAAAATTTGATTCACGGTACATCTACTCTATGAAATACTACTCAGGCATTGAGAAGAATGATATTGTATCATTTGCAACAAAATCATCCCTACTACAGAAAATTATGCTCCATGAAATAAGCCAATCTCAAAAGGACAAATATCATATGTTCTCTCTGATATAAGGCCACCTTTATGGTAAATACAAGATCTTTGGTTATATAGGTAAGAATGCATACACATATATTTATCTAAAGGAACTATGTAATGGAGGCAAATACACTATGGAGATACTTTGCAGCAAGCATTTCTACTTCTGAATCAAAGATGGACTCCCAATGGAAACTCTTAAATATATCTTGACAAGAGGATGTTGAACTTTTATTTTTACCATGGTCTATACATACAATATTATGATACATTTAAATAATAAAATAACTGGACTTGTGACTATTGTTGAAAGATTATGCTATTATAATAATATGGGGGAAATCAGTTGAGGGGAGAAGTTAGGGGAGGGAGCAAGTGAAAGGCAAATCCCTGAGCCTAAGGATCTGTACCTTGAAAAATTAAACAAATACTACATTTTAAAAACTGCCTTCAAGAAAAATTCTATGTGTACATACAATATTGGCATGTGAAGAAAACATGGCAAAATGTTAACAATCATTAACTAATGAATGCTCTTTAAACTACTTTATCTAGAACACTTTAACATAAAAGTGATCACTAACAGAGAAAAACAAAATTTACATGAAGTTACAGAACATGCTACTGAATGACCAATGTGTCATTGAAGTAATGAAAAATAATCAAAAAGCTTCCTGAAGCAAATGATGCTATTGTGTCACCTGTGAGAAAAACTTTTTTTGAATGCATAATAAAAATACATATATGTTACAACCTATGAGTTGCAGGAAAAACAGTACTAAAAGGGATATTGATCTCATATATTGAATGGAGCTTGCCTTAAAACAGAACATATGATATTTGTCCTTTTGGGATCAACTTGTTTCATTGAGCATCATGGTCTCTAGTTGTAACGATTTTGTTGCAAATGACAGAATTTCATTTTTTAAATGTCTGAGTGATATTCCATTGAGTAGATGTACCACTTCTCTTTTGATGGGAATCTGAGTTATTTTTACGTCTTTGCTATTGTAGCTTGTGCTGCTGTACATATAGGATTACAAATCCCTTTCTCATACGCAGATTTCATTTCATTTGGATATATTTCCAGAAGTGGGATAGCTGGGTGGGATAGCTGGGTCATACAGCAGGTCAATCTTCAGTTCTCTTAGCACTCTCCATACTGACTTCCATAATAGTTGCAGTAGTCTGCACTACCACAAACAGTGAAGAAGGGTACCTTTCTCCCAACATCCACACCAGCAAGTGTTGTAAGTTCTGACTGTAGGCCAATGTCACTGGAATTAGGTGGAGCTTCAATGTGAATTTATTTGTATTCCCTGATAGCTAGGAAACCTGAGCACTATTTTAATGTCTCTTTTGAATTTGATTTATGGCTTTTCATTTATGCAGATGCATAGTAACTGTGCATAGAGACTATCACACACAGATGTGAAGATACAATACAGTATGCATCTCTACTTCCAAATCAAAGATGGTTTCCTAATGAAACTGTTGAATGTATCTTGACAGCAGGATACTGGACTCTGCCAATGTTCATGCTTACAATGTCAGGATACAGTTAAATAGCAGAATAATGAACTTATGACTGATTATGAAGGACTATACTATTGTAATGACATGAGAAAAATTAGTTGGAGGTTAATGGGGCAGGAGCCTGGGTAAGGAAGAAGCAAAATCCAAAAGCCTACAGAACTGTATCATAGAACAAAATAAATAACTTTTAAAAATTAAGAAGGCTAAAAACAGAGATAAACTGACACTGATCTAAAAACGGGGGTGGGGGGGCAGCACTGTGGTCTAGTGGCTAAAATCTTCGCCTTGAAGGCACCGGGATCCCATATGTGTTCCAGTCTCATCCCGCAGCAGCCCCACTTCCCAACCAGTTCCCTGCTTGTGGCCTGGGAAGCAGTCCAGGAAAGCCCAAAGCCTTGGGACCCTGCACCTACATGGGAGACCCAGAGGAGGATCTGGGCTCCTGGCTACGGATTGATGCAGCACCGGCTGCTGCAGTCACTTAGGGAGTGAATCATCTGACACAAGATATTTCTGTCTCTACTCCTCTCTGTATATCTAACTTTGCAATAAAAATAAATCTAAAAAAAATGAGAAATTTTAGGGTAAACACTACTTGCTTTATCTGACAATTCTCATTCATACATAGAGTTCTTTAACTTTTGCCTTATAATGATCTCACACTAAAAAATGAAAATCCTGTCTTGGGCAACCAAA